GTAGCATTTACATAGTACTTTGAGGCTTGCAAAGGACTTTATAAATATATAATTTGATTCTCACAGCAACCCTGGGAGGTAGGTGTCATTATTATCCCATTTTATAGTTGAGAAAACTAAGGCAAAATAAGTGGTTAAGTAACTTGCCCAGGGTCACACAGGTAGTAGACGTCTGAGGCCAGTTTTGAACTCAAGGGTCCCAGATATCAGGTCTAGCATATCCATTGGGTCACCTAGCTGGAAAACTAGAAATAATTTAGAGGGGAAAAATAAGATTGGACCAATGCCTTACGCCATTCACTATGATAAAGTCAAAATGGATTTGCTACCTGAATATACAAAGTCACAACATTAAAAAAAATTAGAAGAATAAAAGATCAGGTACATTTTTATAACTATGGCTAGGGGGAGAATTGTTAACTATGCATGGATAGAGATCATAAAAGATAAAACATACAATTCTGACTACATAAAATTTCAAGGCTTTCACAGGAATAAAATCAATGAAGATAAAATTGGGATAGAAATGGTAGAGTAGAAAAATTTTGCATCTGATGTCACCAGTAAAAACCTGATATTCAAGATATAGAGGAGATTGACACAAATCTATAACACTAAGAGCCGTTCCCCAATATATAAGTGGCCAAGAGATATTAATAAATAGTTTTCAAAAGAAGAAGTATAAACGATAAGTGGCCACGTAAATGCATGTTCCAAATCATTAATAGTAAGAGAAATGCAAATTAATACACCTTTGAGGTTTTACCTCGCACAATGCAAAGATGACCAAAACAGGAGGTGGGGGGACAGTCAATGTTGGAGGGGTTGTGTTACATAGTAATACATGCCTGGTGGACCTGTATATTGATCCAATCATTCTGGATATCAACTTGGAATCATACAATAAAAGTGACTAAATTGCCCATCTCTTTTGACTTATTGACCCTACTACTGATGATGTACCCAAAGCCAAAGACAGAAGCAAAGGTCCAATATATGACAAAATATTCGTAACAGCACGTTTTGCTGTAGCAAAGAACTGAAAACAAAGCAGGTGCCTCTCAGATGAGTAATTGCTGAAAAAAAAGCAATGTAACATAATATTATACAGTAATAAATTATGAGTATGAGAAATTAAGAAAAAACATAGGAAGATCTGTATGAATGGATGTAGAAAATAAAAATGAGCAACTCTGAAAGACTTAAGAACTCTCATCAACACAATGTCCAACCATGATTCCAGAAGACTAATGATGAAGTATGCTGCCCACTTCCTAACAGAGTGGGGATAGACTGAAGCTACAGAATGATACAAACATTTTTTGAACATGGCCAATGTGGGAATTTGTTTTGCTTGATTATGAATATCTGTAATGAGGGTTTTGCTTTTCTTTTTTTTCCCAATGGAAGGGGAGGCAAGAGGGAAATAAAATAAAACGCTTGTTAATTTTAGAAAATAAATGACTTGGGGGAGATTCTCAAAAAGCAGAAACCAAACTGAAATACATCCAGAAGAAGGTGACCAAGATGATGAGGGGATTAGAGACTATTCCATAAGAAAAATTTGATTTGGAAACTGGGTGGAAATAGCTAGGTGGCATAGTGGGTAGAGTTTGGGGCTGGAGTCAAGAAGACCTGAATTTGAATCTGGTCTCAGACATTTATTAGCTGTGTGACCTTGGACAAGTCACTTAGCCTCTGCCTCAGTGTCCTTATCTGTAAAATTGTTGTTGTTGGTCCTTTGTTTTTGATTTATAAAATAAGGGTAAGAAGAGCACCTACCGCTCAGAGCTGTTATGAGGATCAAATGAGATAATATTTGTAAAAAGTGCTTAATACTGTGCCTGGCACATAATATGTGCTACATAAATACTAGCTATTATTATTAGAAAAGAAGACATGGGGTGGGATAGGGGTATAATTACTGTCTTCAAATATCTGAAAGACTCTAATGTGGAAGAGGGATTAAGCTCATTCTGCTTATTCTTAGAGGGCTGAATTAATACTAATGGGGGTGGGGGAAGAGTTGGTACAAGGCCCAGGGAATGAAAAGAAAGTTCCAGAGAAGCAGATTTAATGCAGTGTAAGGAATCAGCTGTCTAAAAATGATTTGGTTCTTTCCCTAACATCCAGAGCTCTCCATGTTCTGTCTCTATTATAATCTGTCCTTGCACTCTGCTCCTGCCCTCACTTACTCTAGTATTCTAGCTAAACTGGAATATTTGCTTTCCCTCCTCACTCCCCAGCTTCCTCCATCCTTTCCCATTTCTGTACCTTTGATAACATGAATACTATTATTCTTGAAGGTTTACAATGTGCTTTACCTGTGTTAATTCATTTGATCCTCCACAACAATTCTGCAAGGTTTCTGAAATAGACCATATATCTCTATCACATCTGTAACCCCATCCCTAGTCACCATAGACCCCATAGGAGAACATGCATATGTCATCTGTGTGCCACCTCTACTTCCTGACAAAAGACTATTAATAGTACATCTGTAGCTCCCTGCCAGAGTCCTTCTATATCATTCTGTATCTCCCTCCTGGGGCCCAACAAAACATGAACATCACATCTGTACCCCTTTCTGGGACCAAACTGGAGTCCATATCAAAACAGTGCCCTCCAGGCACTTAGGGTCAAATAGAAAGCCATCTGTATTATGTCTCTAGGGTCCTACAGTGCTATGTATCAGGCAAGAGAGATAGCATGGGGCTGTGGATAGAGAGCCAGCCTTAGAATCAGGACCACCTGGTTTCCAGTCTGACCACTGACACATACTGGCTAGTTGACTCTGGGCTCAAGAAGAGGTCACCTATACTACATGTGCATCTCCCAGGTCCTCCAAAATATGATCTACATCACATCTGGATCTTCCTGTTAGTTCCCAAACAGGCACCATCTATATCATATATAGCTGTAGGTGCTCTATGAGATAGATAGATAGATAGATAGATAGATAGATAGATAGATAGATAGATAGATAGACAGACAGACAGACAGACAGACAGACAGACAGACAGACAGACAGATAGATAGATAGATAGATAGATAGATAGATAATCTCCCTCTTAGGTCATCTAAAGACCAAGAAGAGACCACCTAAATCACATCTATACCTGCTCTCTGGGGCCCAATAGGAAACCACCATTTGACTCATTTGCTGCAGAAAAAAAATGTTGCAGTCATTCTCTTGGTGAAGTAAAATTCCCCTTCACAAAAATATTTATAGCAGCACATTTTTGTAATAGCAAAGAACTAGAAATAGAGCAGGAGTCCCTTGATTAAGGAATGGCTCAAATTGCAGTGTATGATTGCAATGTGATATTATTACACCGTAAAATTGACAGATTTGAGAATTTCACAGAAACTTGGGAAGACTTGTATGAATGGGTGTAGGGAAAAGAACCAAGAGAAGTATTTATATGGTGGCTGCAATATGACTCCTCTGAGACTGCCTTCCGTTTACTTTGAACATATCTTGCCGCTGCTGCTTGGTCTTCTTTTCTGAAGAGGACCGTGACATCAGGGAGGTGATGCCATGACACGCAAGTGAATCGGATTTAAGTGAGGGAGGGCTGTGCAGAGTCACCAGCCTCACTTTCTCCTCTGAAGCCATCTAGGTCCAGTGGCCAGAAATAAATCTGGACAACTAGAGATGGCCCAGGATGCATTGGGGACTGACTATATCATATATCTACCTGTCTGCACATTGATTGGCTCTCCCATTAGAATGGAAGTCCCTTGAGGGCAGGAACTGTGTTTTTGCCTTTCTTTATATCTCTATTACTTAAAGTACTTGGCGGATGGTAAACATTTAATAAACACCTGTTGACTGGACAACCTAATCTGACAAGATGACCAGATCAGTGCAGTGACCAAGGACTGATGGGAAAACATGCCTCCCACCTCTCAATACAGTTCGAGCTACAAAATTAGGCACACTTTTTCAGACCTGGATAAAGTATTGATTTGCTTTGCTTGATTATATTTATTTATCCCAAAGGAGGTTTCTGTTGGGGTACAGGGAGTGAGTCAATGGTAAAGGACAGTAGTGTAAAAAAAAAAAAAGAAGAGAGAGAGATAAGCATCACTAAAACATTTTTTAAAAAGAAAGGTGTCCTCTCTCATAGCACATGGTGACCCGGCTGGGTTCAGACAGAAGCAAACTGTGCACAAGCCCCACCTGTCACCTAGAGCACAAGGAACATTTCTCAAACATCACAGACCACTAAGGGTAAAACTGTCTCCTCCAATGGTGAATACTGTCAAAAGTGACAGAGAAGATCAGGACATCTATAAATAAACCAGACTCATTTTTCTCCAGCTTTTTTAAAATAGCAGGAGGACGTTCTTTGCTTTCATCTACTTCGGCCTTTGCTGCTATGGCAGTAGGGACAGGCCTAGGTTTGTGGAAACTGTCACTCAGTCTTAACAGGCGCTCACCTCTAACCACCATGAGATTAGAGAGGAGTGAGGGTAGCGTTGGGAGGAGGTAAGAGGGTGACAATCGGGAAAGCTGGGAAGGGACACAGAGCCTCCTTCCCCTGAGGCTGATGGAAAACAAGATCAGGTCCAGGTCAGCAGGCACGGTCATGGAACTAGCCCTAGGAAAAGCTGATCTGCACCCTCATCTCCCTTTACCCACTCCCAGGAGTGTTCTGCCATCTCAGTGCCTCAGTCTAAACCAACTCCCCCATTCTGACCTGAAGACAGTCTCATATGCCTAGCTTAACAACATTTACCTGTCTTGTGTCCCAAACCACTAGAATCTCAGCCCTTCCTTATGACCATGCATCCCAGAAGAAGTGTGGGGCAGTAGATTCTAGATTCAAATCTCAATTTTGGCACAGCCTATGTGACTTCAAGAAAGTAATGTCACCATCCTGGGGCTCAGCTCCTCACCTGTAAAATAAGAGGATGGGACTAGATAGCCTCATAGATCCTTTCCAGTTCTAGATCTAGAATCCTATGAAGAAGTCAAGACCTCTTACTGGAGGGTTCCAGTTAGAATGGGAAGAATCCCCAAGACTACTGACCTCCTTGCTTGGTCCCCAGTCCAGTTAAGGTATTCAATTCAATTCCACATCCATTTATTCCTTGCTCTTACATGCCAGGTGCTTGCTAGGCATTTGGTATACAAGCTAAAAATTGAAAGCAATCCCTGCCCTCAAGGAGCTTACATTCTTCTGCGAGAAAGAGAGTGAAATCCAAACCAAGTACATACTAAGTAATTTCAGAGAGCAAGGGGGAATTACTAACAACTGAGGGTAAGTGAGAGGAGATCAGGAAGGCTTCCAGTAGGAAGAGGCACTTGATTCAAACTTTGAAGGAAGCTGGGGATCACAGGATGTGACCCTGACTTTGGAGATAGATAATGAGGGATCAGGGACTGACAAAAATGATTCCCCTCCTCAGAGTCCTGAAAGCAGGCTAATTGACCAAGGACCTTTATATCCAAAGCTCTCTTCTAAGGGACAGCTGGCTTTGGGTTGTCTAAGCACTATGGAAAGATCGAGAAAGGACCAGGACACACGATCTCCAGTTTTCTGTGGGTGATTGTCTTAGTCTTGTGATTGGCTGGCTGCCTGATCTCACACTACATGAGCCTTTGTCATTCAGCCAGCTGACCTGGATTGTGAGCTCCATTTTGAGGAAGAACTCAGACCAACCATCCTTCATTCCTCTCCGTGCTTTGCTTCTGACTCTCCAGGCTTTGCTACCTCACTTTTACACAGGTATTCACCCCACTCCCCCCTCTTTCAGCTCCCTTTTATGTATTGTCTTCCCCCATTAGAATGTAAACTCTTTGAGCAGGGACTGTCCTTCTTTTTGCTTATATTTGTATTCCCAGAACTTAGCACAGTGCCTAGAACAAAGCGTTTCTTGACTTGACTACAAGTTGGGCTTTGCTGTACTGGGCAAAACAATCCATTCCCTAAGGGTCCTCAATTACTTGCTAGTCTCTAATAAACTAATTAATTCCAAAATTCCTATCTCAATACTTCCTATCTCAATAATCAAGTACTGAGTCCAGATGTTAAGAGTTATGTGTGTGGAGAGGGCAAGAATCACTATAAAGGCATGAATCATCATAAAGAAGCACCCTAGGAAAAAGTCCCAGACATCCTAACCTAGTTTGGCTTCTGACAACCAGTGGCCCAGTGTCCTCTCCATTCTCTGACCTTCCAAAGCACACACATGGCACTACACGCACACTCTTTGCTTATATATGCCACTGTATATTATTCCTTATGTTCCTTTTTCCTCCTTGCATCTCCCCTACCAATGCGTGATCTCCTTGATGACAGAAGTCATGCCTTTCCTTGGGATTTGAACAGAGTGTGATATGAAGTGGGTACTTGAAACACCAGGCCCAACCTAGGGAAACATAACTGGAACTAATTAAGAAATTAATGCACTACACCAATTCTAATCACTTTCATTTTCCTCTTGTTCCCAGCTTTCCGACTTTTGACCCGGGCTCTACTTGAAGTTTCAGAGGATCAGGTACTTCAGTCATTACCTCTGTACAATCTCATTTGGCTTCCCATATTTTTCATCCTTATGTCTCACTGGACATAGTAGATAATAGCAGAGACTACTTACGTTCATATAGCCCTCGAATTATAAATTACTTGACACATGTTATCTCGTTATCTTATTAACAATCCCATTGAGACAAATAGTGCAAATATTAGTATGCCCATTTTGCTAGTGAGGAAATTGAGACACCAAAAACTTAAGTGACTTACCCAAGTAATGGTGAGGACTTGAACCCAGCCTTTTCTATTCCAAGCTTAATCCCAATTCTCCCTTCTTGTCCCTGTGGAGTTGTTTCCCAAACAGTGACATCCAAGCAAGAGAATATTTCATTCCCTCCTTTTGTCTCTGTGTCAGGACCTGGGAGGACAACAAGTTCTTCATTTAGTAGATTGAACCAACAGAAGAAAAATCTAAAACTGAAAATGAATATAGACCCAGCAGCATCAATTAAAGAAATCAATACAACATCATCAACAGAATCAGATCCATGTAAGTGGGAGTCTCCTGGGATAGGTGCTGATCACTGTTCTGTTTTGCACTTGTTTTTCCTAACTAATCTATGAAAAGCAGGATGAGGGAGGGGAAAGAAGAGGTAAATAGTTGGATAGCTGGTCAAATTCCTTATGCAACAAACCACCTCTCTTTCATGCTTCAAAACTACTCCACATTCAGGCCCCCACTAGAAACAAGTCTGTATTCCCTATCATGTGTTAATGGAAACCCAGTTGTACAACCTTAAGATCGGGCAGAGAATGAAGAGATGTTACAGAGTGGTTGGGGGGTGAGGTGTAGAAGACTCTTCCAGTGTCCTTTAAGCATCACTGACCCTACACGTAGGCAGAGTAGTCAGCAGCCTCCATGGTAAGATACAAGAAAAATGCCTACTTCAAGTGTGCTGTACCGTCTAAAGTTTCCATTACAAGTCATCCCTCTGAGATAAGACATGGGAGACCTCTTTTAGAATAGTGATGCTTCTAGGGAAGAGCAGCAGCACATTTGCCCTGTACCTCTCAGCAATATGGTTTTCTCTGTCACCTCACCAAACCCCATAGAGATGAGACACAGGACAAGCAAGTGGATAGGGACAGTCTAGATGAGGATCACTGAAGAATCAGGTAAGTTGGGGTGCCAAAGCCATCCTGAAGGCTCGTGTGACTTCACAGATGCATAGAATCAGAGATTTCCAGCTTAATAAAGGATTTCAAGGGTCATCTAGGCCAACACATAGCCCCTCCCCCAAAAAAATCCCCACTGTAACACACATGGGAAAAGATGCTTCAGCCTATGCTTAAAGACAATATTAGATAGCCTATATATTGGTTTGCAAAAGCTTTACATTATCTCACTTGATCCTCACACTACCTCTCTGTCAGTGTTGTTATTATCCCCATTTTATACGATGAAGAAGCTAACATTGAGGGAGGTTAAGTGACTTACCCAGGGTCACATAACTAGTAAATAAGATTTGAACTCAAGTCTCCTGGACTCCACATCCAATCAAGTATGCCACCTTGCTGCATCTTTGATGAGAGAGATCCCACTAATTCCTCAGGTAGTTCATTCCACTTTGGGACAACTCTAACTTGGGGGAAATTCTTCCTGACATCAAGCCCAAATTTGCTCATTTGGAAATCAGTTCCTGATGGAATTGGATGTCATAAGGGGGAGGATGATAGAGGGAGGATGAGGAGTCCAAGGGTAATTCTCATCTGAAGCCAGCCTTGCTTACAGCCTCTGCATGGTAGGTTCCAACTTGCCCCCTCCACACACACATACTCTCAGCACCCATCCCCTCCTTCCATCCCAGGCTCCTTTGAGCTGAAAGAAACTCAGCCTGGGGATGGGGGGGCGGGGAGGGGACACAGAGTGAAGCCAGAGACAGCTGGGAAAGTCACTGAAGTGAAGGGAAGAGACAGAGCAGCCAAGTAGAGATGTTAACATTCTTCTCCCTTCCTGACAGGCAGGCAGACAGGCTGCATCCACAAACATCCCTCTTCCTCTATTTTGAAGTTAGGAGAGGGGGTGTGTAAAGAGAAGACTGAGGAGAGGTGTGGGGGAGGGGTAGACTTCTCCATAGGGGTTCTAAGCTTCTGCAAGCCCAGGCAGGGGACACAGGAGCACTACCATGGTAGGTTGGCCCATAGCCTCCCGGGTCTCTGCTTAGATGGGCACAGATATGGGAGAACAGCAAGAGAACTTCACCTTAACTAGCCTGTTTGATGGAGGATGGAACATTCTGGGAGGGAGAGGGAAGAAAACCACTTCTTATATTTCCAGCTTCACATCACTTACATATATTTCCACCTCAATGACCTCAAATTGGGAGGCATACTCTAAGCTGCTGACAACTGAGAGTAAGGGCATAGCTGGCCATTAGTAAAGCCTTCTTTCCATGGACACTGGAAATAGACAAGGAGTTTAGAATGCCTTGATAGAAGAACAGCCTAATCGTGTATGGTGAAGTTGCGAAATTGCAGGATGGTCTTTCCCATTTGCCATTCCCCACTGCTGTCCCACAGAAAATTTGGATGGATATTGGACAGGGATGTCCTATCATGAATGGGGCAAGGAAGAAGGAGAATAGCCAAAATGTATAGAATAGCTTTGTCAAAAAAGAGTTAGGAGAACCGGGTTGTAATGCTGTAGACTTTGGCCAAATCTCTTCCCTTCTTTCCCCATTATGGAAATGCAGAAGCCAGAGAAGATAAGATAATGTCTTAGCCAGCTCCACATGTTCTTATTCATATACTCTGACTCACTCAGTTTTCCAGACAAAAGGTCTACATGCTGAGCCAGGCTCACGGTGTGATCCCTTCTCTCTCCTCTCTACTGTCTGCATCTATGGAGAGCATTTGTTGGAGATGTTGTACATAGAGAATATTCCTGCTCAGGTATTAAACTAAAAGGCCTCTGACTGCCATTTTGACTCTGAAATTCTATGAATTTAGACATTTACATAGTGCTAGAACAATACAACCTTTTGAGATCAGGAAAGCAAAGCTTTAGTTTTGGTGGGGATTTCTTTTTTAGGAGGCTTGGGGAAGTGGGTCCATATCGCTGATCTTATCAATGTGGGGAATTCCCAATGTGAACTCTTCTGCATCTTCATAATCTGGCTTCATTCTGTCTTTCCAATCTGATTACACATCACTTCTACATTCCAACCAAATTGGTCTACTTGATGTTTCTTGTATATGACATTCCATTTCCTTGGGCACAAGCTGTGCCCCATTCCTAGAATACTCTCTCTTCTCACCTCTTGGATCTCCAAGCTCCCTTCAAGGTTCAGCTCAAATGCCACCTATATGAAGCCCTTCCTGATCCACCTTAACAGTTGGTTCACAATTGCCTCCCCCTAACTACTTAGTATTACTTTATACTGACCATTCTCCCATAATATTTAGAGATATCATACTCTCTTGGTACTTCTCCTATCTCTCTGTCTGTTACTTCTTTGTCTCCATTGATTCTTCATCCCCTTCTCCATTTCTTAATGACAGATTGCACCAAGCATCTACCTTTGGACCTCTTTTCTCGCTACACTCATTTTCTTGGTGCTATCATTCAGTCTCACTACTTTAGCTACCACTGTTATACAGATAACTCCATAACTCCAATTCAGATTGCTTGTTTGATCTCCAGCTACCTACTAAACATTTTCACATTCCTACCTCACCAGCAATATCAATTCAATGTATCCAAAACCAAGTTCATTGTATTTCCCCAAAACCTGTTCTTCCTTCTGACTTCTCTGTTTCAGTCCATGATTCCACCTTTCCCCAGTCTCCCATGCTCACAATATTGGGGTTACTTTTTACTCTTCCTGCCCTCTCTTCTCGTAATTAATCAGTTACCAGTTGCCTCTCTGTACATGTCTTGAATCCAATTCCACTTCTCTATTAGCACTGCCACTAGCTTATTATAAGACTTCATCACCACCTGGACTATTTCAGTGTCCTTCATGCAGGTATTCCCACTTTCTTTCTCATTCCTAATTCTTCTCTTCATAGAACAATTAAAATAATCCTATATCCACAAAGATCTGGTCTTATTAATCCTTCGCTCAAAAATCTTCAGTGGCTCCCAATTGCCTCTGAATTGAATTCAAATTTCTTTGTTTCACAGTTAAAGCCCTCCACAGCCTGGTATACCACCACTCTTTTCCAGGTCTAGGTCATAGTACATCCATTCAAGTATTCTGTACCTCAGGCAAACTGCACATCTTTCTGAACTTAAACACACCTTGGACTCTGAGTTATACAGTCAAAAAGCATTTATTAACCACTTACTTTATGCCAGGCACTGTGCTAATTTCTGGTATATTCTCTGTCATCACCTATGGAATTCCCATCCATTGAAGTTCAAATTAAATACCACCTTCTGCCAGAAGCCTTCTAACAAGTTTATAATGACCTTCCCTTAGATCACTCATAACACTTCGTGAGTATCTAAGGCATCTGTCACGTAATATTGTGCATTGTAGGTATCTATTTGTATCTTATCTCCCAGCTAGTCCATAAACACCATCAATTAATAAGCATTTTAAGGGTGTCTGTGAGGACAGACACCATGTTTCATTTAAGCTTTGTATCTTCCTAATCCTTAGCGCAACGCTTTGTGTACAATAGGGGTGTTAAATAAATATTTGATTTTATGAATTGTATTATTCATTTGATCATACCAACATGTAAAGCTAGGAGGGAACTCAAAGGCCATCTTGCCCCATTCCCTCATTGTATTGATGAAGAAACCAAGGCTCAGGGAGCTGAAGTGTCTTGTCAAAGATCACACTAGAAATAAGCATGCAAGGGGGGTATTGAACCCATGTCTTCTGTCTCCAGAGTCCAGGGTCACTACTCTCTCCATTGTAGCATATAAAGCAAGTGCTTTACAATTATAGAATTAGTGACCCAGGTACATTAAAAGTTAGGCAATATTTTCTAGGAAGACCCAGAAACCTGGCTGTAAGGTACGACGTTATTTCTTTGAGGATATGCCTTCCCATTTCCAAGCAACCTACTTGCAAGTGGATTTCTGAGGAAACACTAGTTTATAAGTTGGGGAGAGTTCTATATTCAGATGTAGCCCAAAAGCCCATCTCTCAGTGATATCATAGGACTGTGACTCATTGGAAATTACAATCCCCAAAGAATCAAATTATAAGCTACCCCAATGAGGAGGGGGAAAGGAAATACACATATCATGAACATAGTGCCTACACTGTGCCAAGCACTTTATAAATGTTATCCTTCACAGCAACCCTGCTATGTAGGTGCAGTTATTATCCTCGTTTTACAGTTGAGGAAACTGAAGCAACCAGAATTAAGTGACTTTCCTGGGGTCACACAGCTAGTAAGTAAGGACAAATTTGAAGGCAGGTCGTCCTGACTCTAGGCTGAACTCACCATCCACTTCACCATATAGATACCTCAATGATAATGGGAATACAGATAGTGGGTATAAATGGGCAATGGCGAGACAGCTAGGTG